GATATAGATAGATAATTGAAGCAATCATAAAATATATAAAATTCAATTTGACTTGACTAGTGGAGTTTTGGCCCCAATATATTTGGGTTAGTACAGGCAATTTGAGGTGTAACTATTGACTTGTGTAGGCTCTAATTTGATTCTCCTTACTAACGTGCACCAATAGAAAAAAAATAACGTCCAATGATTATTTAAGTTTTAATTTTGTGTGTTGAATAATAATACGCATGATTTATTAAAAAAAAATAATAATAATAATACACATGCTAAGCTGGCTTTGTGGCCAAGCATAATCAATACATCACAAATGATAAATAGACAACCTTTTAATCACGCTTATATTATTACATTTTTCCCTGTAAAACAAAAGTTAAAATATGCTGTGTTGAATATATAAATGAACTTGATGATGGAAGTAGAAAAGGAAAAGTGGGGGAAAAACAAGAAGCGGAGAGGTAAAAAGAATGGGAGAGCTCAGATTCCCAATTGATTACACGAATTTCCAGGAAAATAATAATAAACATAAAACAATTGTATGAACATATGAACAAGTTACGTGCATAATTAATCGCATGAACACACGGTAAAACTTAAAAGAATAGCGGTCACATTAATGCCAATACTGGTCACCTATTACAAAGCTTCAAACCCCAGAATTATCACCCGCATGAAATTTCTATGCTTTTATTCGTATCAAATAATAATCTCTCATCAATGATATACCACTTATATATGTAGAAAATTGATTTAAAAATCAATGATTAAATATATTACCAATTAAGTAGAAACTTTCGGTCAGGAGCTTAATTACTGCTGATCAATCTGTACTGGTTCCAGCAAAATCTTTTACAGTAAAACCAACTTTCTCAAACTTCTTTTCCCCATTAGTACTGCTGATCTCTCTGAACTTCAAATAATCAGCACAGACAAAAGGTTTATATGCCCTCAAATGCCCTTCTCCCACCACTTCATTTGGGGCATAAATCGCTTTCTCATCTTCAAAACACCAGAAGAAAGCCAACGAAAAGCGGTTAACGAGTCGTTTCAGCACGACTCGGTGTTCGGACGATCTCAACTTTCCATTGCTCCATGCATGCATTAAGTCCCCTATGTTCACCAAAAGGGTTTCTTCACATGGATTTATGTCCAGCCACTTCCCTTCCTTAGATCTCACTTGAAGCCCGCCAATTTGGTCTTGATAAACAATTGTTATACAGCTCATATCAGTGTGCATTCCAAGCCCTTCAACTTCTTCTTGTGTCACACTCTTTGGGGGTGTGTAGTTGATTATTCTCAAATAACCATGGCAGTTTCTGAATTCGGAATCGTAAAACTTTTGCTCAAAGCTTTCCCCTAAGCTCATCAAGACAGCTTCTACAATTCTCTTTGATAGCTCGGTCATTTTGCTCCCATACTCTTTTAGTATCTCACTGGAAATCAGAAACCAAAAACTCAACAGATATTCCAAGAAATTAATACAAAAAGGAGTATCTAGAATGGACTTTGGAATGGTTCAATGGTGATCAGAACTATACCTTTTAATACCAACGTCAAGGCTTCGAATTTGACAATGCTAATGTAGCTAGCATTAAGAATTAGACGCCTTTTTTTTAACTACTAAAAACAATAAA